AAATCCCACGGACCACTAATATGATCTGCCTAATGACCAGCTGGATGGGTGTGGTCAGGTGACTGGATGGGTATGACCAACTTGATATCACTCACTCGCCAGCCTCTCCTCGCCCCTCCCCTCCCAGCCACTCTTCGCTTCCTTAGGGCCCCAACAGGAAGCAGTTGTTGGAGCTAAGCAGTCACCATGAGAAAGTTCAAATTGGATTTGACCAAGAAGGAGGCTCAGCAGTAGCACCTCACTGAGGATTATGAGCATAGGCTTTCCAAGCAGATGGAAAACCTGCGGGAGTGTAAGGCCAGGTACCAGTGCCTGGAGGCTCAGCGGGCTGAGATATTCAGCCAATTCCAGGCCATAATGCTGTCCCATTGGAACGAGACCCTCCAGCTCTTTGCCACCAGTGGCACTTCCCTCCAGCATTTGCCAAAAGCCCCACACCAGAAGGCTGAAGCAGACCCCAAGTGAGAATTTCTGCCCCCCGACCTGCACAAAAAGACTCTGAAAGGGAAGACTCTCTGCAGCAACACAAACATTCATTGCACATATATATCCCAGGGGGCATAGTTTGAGGACCCTTGATTTAGTGCAATATAAAAAATGCACATAATTTTTCTTTGGACCACCAGTGGTCTTGTTGCCAGGAAATAATTGGGAAAAAACACAAGGACCCTTTTTTATCCACAAATGTTCTTGCTTTATTGATTGACTGTGATTGGAATTTCTTTCAGATCCAACTTTCTTTGTCTGGTTCAGTTGAATCCCCCCCCCCATTTGTTTCCTTAACAACTTGTTTCCCTCTTTTCTACCTTTCTAAAGAAAACTTTTAGGCCAGATTTCTTTTCTTTCTTTTTTGGTCTTTTTTGTTTATACCATGTTTTCCCGAAAATAAGACAGGGTCTTATTTTTTTTTTGGCCCACGAAAAATGGCCTTGGGATTATTATATGGGAGGACTTATTATTTTCTGGGGCAGGCGAGAAGCGAGGCGTGCCTTTTATCTTTCCAGCTCCGTCACGTTCCGCGCCATTGTGTCCAGGGAAGCTGCTGGTAAAAAAAAATACCCTTCTCGTGAGTTCTATGAAACTTCTTGAAGTCGCGAGAAGGTTTTTTTTTTTTTTACCAGGGGCTACCCTGAACACAATGGCAAGGAACATGATGGACCTGGAAAGGTAAGAGGCGCACCTTGCGGCCCAACACTGCCCACCTCGCCCCAATGGTAAAGGCAGCCTGCCTGGTTCCCTTCCCTGCCGCCCCTTTAGCAAGGGGTGGCAAGTGGGTGGGAGAGAAGCAAGGTGCATGTCCTAGCGCTACCAGGCTGACAGCTCCGCTGTGTTCTTTCATCCAGTGAAGCCCGTTGTAAAAAAAACCTCTCAAGTTGAACTCATGAGGTTTTTTTACGACGAAAAGGCAAGAAACGCAGCGGAGCTGTCAGTCTCCCGTAGCACTAGGACGTGCGTCTTGCTTCTCCCCCCACTGCTACCCCTCACTAAAGGGACCTGGGGGAAGGGAAGCAGCCAGGCCTGCCATTATCATTGGGGCTTTATGGGAGGTGTTCTTTTTGCATGAGAGGAAATGGGGTGTGAGGTACATTGCTGGCCTGCCACCTCCCACCCCACCCAATGTAACAGCTGCCTGGCTTCTTCCCTTCCTCAATGTCCCTTCAGCAAGCGGAGAGAAGCGAGACGCACATCCTAGCGTGGAATGGGATTGTTCTCCTCCTGCCCTTCGCCCGCCTATTTCTCCCCCAGGATTTCTCCCCCAGTCATCCACCTCTTATCACTTCGCCTCCGCTGTGAGGCACCTGGCTGATCATCCTTCTCTTCCATCCCCAGTCCTTCCTCATGGGCCTTTGGGAAAGATACTCTTCACCTCAGCCTTTTGGGCTCAAGACACAGTTAGCTGCCAGCCAATCGGAGGAAGGGAAGGGAGAAAGAGAGAGGCATGGAGGGAGAAAGTGTGTTGTGTCGAGTTTCCAGTTGTCTCGGGTCTGAGCTAGAAAATCTAATAAATCCTTTGCATTCCCCCACCCCAAAATGCTGGGGAATAGCTAATAAATCCTTTGCAATCCCCCCACCCAAAAGACTCTTTTTGCAACGGACTCTTTGCATGGGAGGGAACAGGGCGTGAAGCATTTTGCTTGGCCTACAGTTCTTTTTGCAGCAGGCCCTCTTTTTGCCTTGGAAGCTGTACCGATAGGTGGTACAGTGGTAATGGTGGGGACCAGTTGCGCATGCACTTAAATAGTTTGGAGCGGGCTTATTTTCAGGGGAGGGCTTATTGCGCATGCTCTGAAAAGCCTGATTGGGCTTATTAGCAGGGCGTGTCTTATTTTTGGGGAAACACTGTATGTCTGCTTCATTTTTAGTAGCTGGTAGTTTCATTTGCTGCTTAAGTAATTGCCTTGCCATTTACAGAAGTGGTAGGATCACTAAACTTTAGCTGTATTTCTAACTTACAATTACATACCCATCCATCCATACCCACCCCTTGAGATATAACTAAAAGCAGATCCCTAAATTATTTCAATCTAGGACTTACCAGGTGGAAGAAAAGAGGATTTTCTATATCTGGATTTTTGCAGTTCCAAATTTGGAAGACCTACTTGAAGGACTTACTGAAAAAAAATGTTAAGGAATAATTCATGGAAGGAAATCCTTTAAATGGTGTACTCACCCAGAGAAGACCTTTAGCACAGGATGTGCCCATGAGATTTATTTTCAGATCATTTCCTATGTTAGTTTTCCTGGTATCAGGACAAAATACAAAGGAACACAAAACATCAACTTCACAGTGACCAAATAACATCAGTAAATATGTGATCAATTAAATGTCAGATTAATTTAGATGTAAAAATATTTTTATGTCTGACATCATTTCCACTCCTGATGTATATAGTAAGACAAGAATCAAATAGCTTGATATTATGCATTCAGAAGAATGAAGTTCTGATAATTGTCAGTGTGACTTGCTTCTTATATGTAAAATGCTATCATGTAAAACATTCAGATCTCATCCAATTGATGTCTACTTGGTACTAACTTCAATTGCACCAAAATATCAATCACTCTTCATAAGTGCAGAAATATTGCAGAATTATATGTCCGTTATCCTGAAAGGAAATTTGAGACTTGTGAGCCTATGTGACCTCAGCTCTTTGGTACATCATCCCCTCCCCTGGGTTAGTTAGCTACTGGCCTTTTCCCCAGAGATTAAACCATGAAGACGGTGCTGGCCTTTGAAGATGTGGCTGTGTTTCCAGACCTAAGGATAGGAATGTTAGAGCCTTTGAGATGGTTGTATTGAAGGTTGCTCCAGATTTTATCTTGGATGTTGATTATACATTTATTTCTTATGTCTTGTATTTTCATCTGTGTTAACTATACGGAGCCACTATTTAAGATGGGGGGGATATAATTGGAATTAAATAAATAAAATAGATCTGTGTTATGTGTTTAATTTTTTACTACATAAATATTTCCACACAAACAGAGCATCTTGAAATGCAGTAGAATACTATAGACCAGCCAAGGTTTAACTTCCCAGTTCTTCATCATTAATATAGCATCCTGTGAGAAAGCTTGCGGTACTGGAGCAACATTGTGACAAATATCTGTAAGGTCAGATTGGAAAAAAGGCAAAGTGATCCTATGAATAATTATAATTACCTCATCAAATTTTCAAAAACACTGAGATCTTAAATATATTCAGGATCTGGCCTCAGTATTCTCCATAAGTAACACTCTAGAATATACTGCCAGTTGTCTTAGAAATTCATAGCTAATTATATCACAGAGATGAGAACTACCTTATTTTTCAGAGTATAAGACACACCTTTTTAAAAGGTGAAAATCTGGGTGCATCTTGTACTCTGAATGTAGCCCCACCCACCCAATCAGCGCATTGCATTTTCGGGTGGTTCCAGGCAGTGGGGATCCTCACTTCCACTTTGATAATGATAACTAATTCTGATCAAGCAGTACTTGCAGGCCAGCTGTCGGTGTGATTCTCCTACCAAGAAACTTTGTAATGAGAAGTGTGGGAGGGAGGGGGAACCCTCCAGCTGCGAAGGTTTTTGGTATTGGGAAGGAAAGCTTTTTCAGGTGGCAGCGCCACTATTCTCTCCCCAATTGCAAAAACGGCATGATTTTTTTTTTCTACTGGTACCAGTATCACCTCTTGTTTCAGTTGCCAAATGCCTTCATAATGGAGAATGATCATTGAAGCTTATTTGGAAATTGTTACTTAGATATGTGTCACAAGTGAGAGCTTTCTAGTTTAAGGTGACCAGATTTTAACATTGGTAAAGAGGGACACCATTGAGGGGGGGCTTTCTTGATTAAAAATTTGGTCTATATAAAGCAACAAAATTTTTCATANTGAGTTGGCACGGGGCGGACAGATACAGTTGCGTATCATCCGCGTATTGGTGGTATTTAATCCCATGCCGGCGTATGATCTCACTCAGCGGCTTCATGCAGGAAGCTGCAAGAAGTTTCTCTTTAAAACGTTTCTCCTTTTTCACATCCAGGGAAACATAATGTTCTGCCTTTTCAATATTTCCTAGGATATTTCATTTTTCTAAGAGAGGGGTGGGTTTTAACTTTCTACAATCCCTACTTTTTTTTGATGCAGAAGCATTGAGAGGGGCAGCAGAAGGATTCCTTCAGTGGCACCCAAAGAGCTTTCAACCATGAAGGTCTAGCAGCCAGGGAAAAGATTTGGAAAGAAATTTACAGTATCCAATTTTCTATGCCAATTATTTTCAGATGTTTGATATCACTTTCAGACAGGTTGCAAGCAACCTGTGAGCTTCCAGACAGGTTGCAAGCAACCACAAGTCCCAAAAATCCTTCACAGCCATGGTTCTGCCTTTTAAAGAACTAAAGGCTGCCCATTTCCAAGGGATGGTTCTTGAACTTGCCCTAGCTCTTATTTTAGTGAGGCCAATTGAGATTAGCTAGTGTTCAATCCAAACTATTTAGTATTTTTAAAATTACACACAATGAGCCCTGGGATTCCTACTCCTGAGACCACCAGTGCAACATATCTGCTAGCTCTTCGAGTGGGGGAATTGCCTGAAGAGAACTTCCCCTCCCACATGGGATTAACAAGGGCAAAAATCAACCTAGGAGAAGCTTTGGTTAGAGGTAAGTGGAGGAGATACTTTCAATCTAATTCTGAATGGGGTTTTTCTCTCTCTCTTTCTTTGTGTGTGTTTGTGTAGCTATTTCTATAATATATAAAATACATTTTGGACGAATTTCCCTCCCACCAGACAGAAATTTAAGGTGTTCAGATCTTGCTGTGCCAGCCACACTCAAATACAATTCTTACATGAGTACATGAAACTGATTACAATATAAATGAGACAAGAAAGAAAACCTTACAATCGATTTCTGTGAATGAAGCAGAGAAAGAAAACCTTACAGTCAATTTCCACCCTCCCCATAATCTTTACAGCTGTCTTCTGGGAATTGAAAAGTCTTTTAGTCTTTACTTCTTCATCTCCTTCAGGGTTTTTTCATGTCTGCTAGGGTGGCATGCTTGGTTTGGTGGTAAGGCTGGTGAGTTAGGCTTCATTCTGGTTGCTGTGATGACATTCAATGGAGGATTGCATCCAAAACCAATTCCTGTCTCAAATGGATGGAGGGTCTCCTCTGGAGGCATCTGAATCCAAGTGCTCTGCTCATCTGTGCAGGGCTGAAAGACATGGGAACAAGATCCCCTCCCCCACTGAAAAGGCGTCCTTGGAGGATTGAAGGCAAGGTGGGGGTGAGGGGGGTAGATAGCTTGCAGGCAGAGTTTGAGAAAAAAAATGAGTATTGCAGTTACTAAACAGATAAACTGGTAACAATATGGGGATATTACAGATGAGAAAAGGGAACTAAATTCACATGCTTCAGGAAAGAGATGAGCAGGTAAAATCATTTAAACATACAATAAATGCAAGGATGAAAATTTTTCTTGTAAATGAACTTAAAACATTCCCTGGTTTGTTACTTTAAGGTACTGAGAGAGGGAAGGAAGAAAGCGTATTTATCTTTATTCTGTGTGTTGGCCAAACAAACAAGACCAAAGGCTCTTTTTGGGGGGTGGGGATGGAGAGACATTTTACAGTTACAATTACCTCGAGGGTGCACAAAGACTTAGACATACACACACACAAAAAAAACAAGGACAAAGAGAGGATAACAAAACTCTTGAGTTTCGCACACATAATCATTCCCGCCATGAATCTCAGTTAAACTGGGGAAGGCACAAATCTTAACAAACAAACCACATGGTTTCATAGAAGATAGAAAAAGAGGCAAACAGATAAGAAAAAAAAACCCCAACATTTTCCCTTTTCTTTTAAGTACCTTTATTTAGCCAAATTGGTTTCCCTGTGTCATCCTTCAGCAAAGCCCATTTTCTACATATTTTTCTTTCTTTTTTATTCATGCTGTAACTCTCCCAGGGGGGTTCCATTCAGGACCTTTGAACTCAGTTTCCCATTTTTTCCCCTTTTCAATGTGGGATTTTCACGCTTTGGCTTAGTCAGGTCAGTAGGCTATCAGTTTGCAGACAAAAAAGTGTCTGCGGGAGACTTTGGTTCCCTATAAAGTACATGCCCTCCCTTCAGAGGTAACCCTCAGGTCACGGTTTTCGGACTGGAAAAAAAATACTCTGGGAAACTTTTCTGCCCCCAGCAGAAAAATACTGACACTCCTCAATCAGACCAAGGTTTTTGGATTTGGAAGAGTTCAAAGCCAGGATAACTTTTCTGCTTATTTGCAAACAAGTACTGGCGCTCCTATTAATTTAGTCTAATTTTTCTAATTTCCTAGGGTTTAGGGCTTTGCTTCTATTGGTAATCACAGGGTTCCTTACAATTCCTTAGTATTGGCAATTGTGCCTCACTCAGTTCCTTTCCTTCAAACAGGAGGTTTCACATCTCAGAGAGGTGATATCCCACTGCTATCTAGATTAAGCGTACACACACAGACACAAACACACTCTCACACTCACTCCCCTTAATTCTACAAATTTAAATTTAGCATGGTACTCACCTTCTTTCCAAGCAGCCTTTGAGCTCAAAACTCAAAACCCCTTTAAAACCTAGTTCCAAATGTGTAAGGTCCAGGAAAAATTCTCCCACAGACTCAATGGGGTCTGTGCCAGCGAGGGAGGCTTACCTGGGCCATATCCATTGGTTAGGTCAGCTTGGAGTCCCACCAGAGTCGCCAATTGTTGGAAGAAATGTCCTTCACGGTAGTTAATAGATCTTTCACTCATTTGCCATGCACTTCACAAATGGTAGGTAGTCTTTTTCTTTCTACGTTTTCTTTGATGTGGTTTTCAATTTTCAGCATTTCACAGCTCTACACTTTCGAATTGTTGCAGAGGAGGATCTTCATCCTGTATGTTGGTTTCTTCTACTGGCTGGTCAGTTTGTTTAGGTGTTGGAGCAGTTTCTTCAGCTTGTTCATCATCACTTATTGTTTTCTTTTTAGCCAATATTTCTAGATGTTGCATTACCACAACTGTGAAAACTTTATTACAGATGATGAAGCATCTTTGATCCATTAATCTTTCTTTGGTTATGTCACTTTCTGGGTGTTGTTCCTTCCATAATTGTATCATTCTTTTTTGAAATCCCCTGGTGTTGATTGTGGCTGGTAATAATATTTGAAGATTTCACGATTTTCTTTGGTTGTCTAGGTTTTGCACTTTGGTTCCAATCGCTTTGTAGTTGCCCATCCTAGTTCCCTGGCAGTAACAACTGAGCCCTGTAGCCCCTTTTTTGACAGATGTCCAAGAGCCATAGCATCTGACATGGTCCTTGTTGACCTGAGCGACAAAAGACCCGAAATGGAATTTTGTTGGTTTTTTCTCATCATTACTGATGGTAGATGCCTGGGTTGGTTCTCAGTACTGAGGCACTACTGATTTAAAGACAATAATCTCATAACTGTAGGAACCGCACCAGTTAGTTATCCAGACCCAGGCATGGCAGGAAAGAGGCCTACCTTCCTGTTTGGAGGTAGGAAGGCAGGATCAGGAATGGGGAAGGAGGAGGAAAGAGGCCTGCCTTCCCATTTGGTGGTAGAAAGGCAGGACCAGGAATGGGGGGGAGGAGAGAAAAGAGGCCTACCTTCCTGTTTGGTGGTAGGAAGATAGGATCAGGAATGGAGGGGGAATGACGCCTACCTTCCTGTTTGGAGGTATAAAGGCAGGATCAGAAATGGGGAGGGGGAGGAAAGAGGCCTACTTTCCTGTTTGAAGGTAGGAAGGAAGGATCAGGAATGAGGGAGGAAAGGCCTAAATTCCTGTTTTTTATTTTTATTTTATTTTTTATATTATTATTATTATTATTATTATTATTATTATTATTATTATTATTATTATTATTATTATTATTATTATTATTATTATTATTATTATTANTTCCACCAACACTGATTTTATAAAATCCCCCCATATTTCATTATAATTATTTACTTTAATCATCAAACATTTAATCATTTACTTTTTAATCATTTAAAAAAAGATCAGAGATTTTTTTTTTTGTCTCTGTGCCTTTTGCTCCCTGGATCCCTTTAAACTAGAACAAGTCTATACTTCTTTTTGGGCAGTTGGCAATGTTATATTGTCTTCTAAAAACTTTTAACATGTTAGATATAGCATATATGGAATTTAAAAACTCCACAAAACTCTACTCTTGAAAATTTTGATGCTTCCCAATTTGATATAGGTATTACATAAAATACAGTTAGATGCTGTTTTTGCTGGTACTTAAAATTGAATTACAGCCAGAAACATTTAAAATGAATAAAAATATTAGTTATGTGCATTAAAATGTTGGGCTTGGCTCAAGATTTTAGACAATAATTTCCCTAAATGAACCAAGGAGTTTGAAATATATTTAATTTTAAAAGAGTAGTTTTAACTTATGCTTTATAGAATATGATTTCTGAATATCAACAAAGATCTGGCTGCAATCTCTTTATCTATTTTGATCTTCTCCACTTGAGTCTTATGGTTAAGTTTAAGAAGACAGATCTAATCTAGGGAAGAAGCTTCTATCTTTCTTAATCAATGGGTGAAGTAATTAAATAGGTTCTTGCATCTCAATACTCCTTCAGAGTAACCTTTTTAGTTTTAGGAGTCTTCTAAGCCAAGCTACCACTTATCATCTAGGAAAAATATCAAGCCACACTTGTCCATGTATAAAAAACTATAAAGTCTGAAGACTATTGAAAAACAAATAAACACACAGAGGATTTTGTTGCTTGTCTTCAAGTTTTGTCTAGAATTATTCTAGCCTAAGGTGACCAGATTTTCAGATTGGTAAAGAGAGACACCTTTGACCGGGGGGGGGGGGGGGGCTGATTAAAAATTTCATACAGAGCAACAAAAATTTTCATACAACGCAAAAATATTATTGTAATATTTTTTTATTTCAATATAACTACAATTTACAAATATAAATTGTAACTNAGGATCGGGGCAAAAGGCAAAAGGATCGGGGGTGAAGGGGATAACAGCCCTGTTGAGATGCAGCCAAGGGCTCCGAGGGTCTTTTCAATGTATTAAAATAAATTTGAGAGGGCTGCCCATCCCACCGAAAGGGACTTTGGGATTCGGCTTTGCGGGAGGATTAAGGATTTTCTTTCGGCTCCCTAAATGGATTTGGAGAATCTTGGGTTTTTCCGAAAACAGGTTGAAGGAAGAGGCCGAAAATCTGATTCTGAAGAAGCCGTTTTCGGAGTCCTTTCCTGTTCTTGGTCTGGGGTCTAACTGAGATGGGGGTCATCTTGACTTTGGGGTGCTGAGATGGTCCCAAGTGGCACCAAAAGAGAGTCACCCCAAATTTGGGAATGGAGAGGAAGCCCATAAGAAGCCCCCAAATTCATTCATTCATTCTTTCTTTCTCTCTCTGTCTTTCTTTCTCTCTTTCTGTTTCTGTTTCTCTTTCTTCTTCTCCACCTCATCCTCCTTCTCCATCTCCTGCTTTCTTTTCCTTTTCCTTCTTCTTTTTTCCTTATTTTCCTTCTTTCTTCCTTCTCCCTTATTTTTCCTTCTTCCCCCTTCTTCCATCTTTTCTTCTTTCTTTCTCCTTTCATCTTCCCTTCTTCCCACTTCCTGTTTTCTTCCATCTTGCTTCTTCCTGTCTTCTTCCTTCCTCCTCCCATCTTCCTTTCTTTCTTCCTTCTTCCTTTTTCCTCCCATCTTCCTTTCTTCCTTCTTCCTTCCTTCTTCCTTTTTTCCTGTCTTCTTCCCTCCTCTTCCCATCTTCCTTCTTCCTTTCTTCCTTTTTCCTTTCTTTCTTCATCCTTCCTGTCTTCTTCCTTCCATCTTCCTTCCTTTCTTCCTTCTTCCTGTCTTCTTCCCTCCTCCTCCCATCTTCCTTCTTCCTTTCTTCCTTCTTCCTTCCTTCCTTCTTCCTTTTTCCTGTCTTCCCTCCTCCTCCCATCTTCCTTTCTTCCTTTTTCCTTTCTTCATCCTTCCTGTCTTCTTCCTTCTTCCTTCCATCTTCCTGTCTTCCTTCTTCCTGTCTTCTTCCTTCCTCCTTCCATCTTCCTTTCTTCCTTTCTTCCTGTCTTCTTCCCTCCTCCTCCCATCTTCCTTTCTTCCTTCTTCCTGTCTTCTTCCTTCCTCCTCCTCCTTCTGCATTTGTTTGCAGAAAGAAACTCGGCGGGATGGGCAGAGGGGAGGAAGGCCTCCCTTTCTGCCCCCGTGGCATCTTTTCCTGCTTTCAGCCCCCCCAAACCCCCACCCCCTCCAGAAACCTCCCGCTGGCAGCTCACAGGCCTGGACTGACGTGGCACCATCAGGCTGAACTGCCGGAGCGTGAATGGCTCAGCTTTTCCACTTCGCTGCCCGTTGTGACAGGCATTGGCTAAATATAGGCCCTGCGCCGAAGCGGAGGAAGAAATGGAGCATATTTTGCTGATGAAAAAAAAAATTGGGGAAAAAAAATAAAATAAAATAAAAATTAAAGATTGGCAGAGAAAGGGAGGTGGGATGGGCGGGAATCACGACGAAAAAAAACTTCTTTTCCTTCCATCTTGCTTCTTCCTGTCTTCTTCCTTCCTCCTCCCATATTCCTTCTTCCTTTCTTTCTTTCTTCTTCCTCCCATCTTCCTTTCTTCCTTCCTTCTTCCTTTTTTCCTGTCTTCCCTCTTCTTCCCATATTCCTTCTTCCTTTCTTCCTTTTTCCTTTCTTTCTTTCTTCATCCTTCCTGTCTTCTTCCTTCCTCCTTCCAGGGAGGGAGGGAGGGAGGGAGCCGAAGCGGATGGGCTTTGTAGTCCTGGGATGGCACAGATGTGCCCACTTCACTCTCGGTGGCTCAACTTCCACGAAGTTGGAATGAAAGAGAAAAAAAACAAAACGCCTGGTGTATAAACGTTTGACCTGTAAATTAACAAGCCGGCTTTCTAAACCTTGTTATTTCCAGCGTAAAATATCTCTTCCCACCCCCCCCCTCGCCCCCGAATTTGGCGATCTTTGCATCCCCCACATGCGTGGCACATGTTTAAAATTTCGACACCCGGGCGAATAACATCTATAATTTTGCACCGTTGAAAGTTAGTAGCTCCTCTCTGCACGGGGCTGCCATCTTGCCTAAGCTGGCCAGATGTTAGCCTGGAGCACAGCTGGAGAGGCGGTGCCCATCATGCCTATCGTAGAGCTGACCCATTAAGGTAGACTGCCCCTCAACGCCGAGCTCTTTGGGGTTTTGAGTTTTGAATATCTTGTTTGTTTGCCGATTTTTCCCCACGGGAATTTAGACCTGGGAAACCAGTTCCAGGCTGGTTTCAAGGACTGGGTTTGGACGCAAAATGGCGGGGCCGTGTTTTGAACCTGTGTCTTCCCTCCTGCAGGATGTGCCTTCCTGACGTACTGTGCCCGGGAGTCCGCCCTCAAGGCCCAAAGCGCGCTGCATGAACAGAAGACGCTGCCAGGGGTGAGTCCAAGGGGGGAGGGAGTGCCCGCCTGCTGTGCCAGGAGGCCTTGTCGCCCGATGCCACCTTCAGCAGACGGCCTCGGCGGCTAACACCACCAGTGTAGGGGAGTGCTCACACCAGCTCTTATCCCGCTTCTCATCCCGCTTCGGTGCTCTCCTTGTTTGCCGATCTCTTTTCCATTGTTTGCAGAATCTCCCCCTGGATGATTTCAAATCCAAAATAATAATCTCCACTAGATTATTATTATTATTTCAGTGTTAAAAAGGAGGTCGGATACACTTAAGGACGGTTCCTTTCGAATTCGCCGGCGTTTGGGAGTGTTTTCTGGCTCGACTAGTAGACGGGGGGGTATTTAGTCAAAGGTATATGATGACTTTCTCGCAAAGATTGTGGCCTTGCGGTGCCATCTTCCTGGGGTCCGTTTGTGCCTCTCAACTCAGCATTTTTTTTGGGGGGGTGTTTCTCAACGCAGAACTAGGGAAGGGGTTCCCCACCCACATTTGGTGTCAGTGGTGGGATCAGCCCTCCGGAGTCCCTAGGGAGAAACCGAATCCGGGAATCCGTGTTCAGATCTTGGGAATTAAAAAAGGGATGTTTAATTTTAGGGGAGAGGAGGACTGTGCCCATCGTGGTGATGCGTTTCCTTTTTTTTTTCTTTCGCAACGGGAACAGTTGTTGTTTTTATTTAAAGTTTTTAAATAAGTGGAACGTCACCCTGTAGTTATTATTAGCATTATTAGTAGCTTATCTCCACCCCCCAAGGACAGAATTGGGAGAAAAATGAAAGGGTTTTTAAAAGGCGTAGCCAAGTTTCTAGACCTCACCGCTTTGAGCAGAGCCTGCAAGGAGAAGGGGAGGGGGTGGGAGAGGCAGGAGGGGGAGGGGGACGTTCTCAGGCCTAAGCAGATTTGCTGCTTGTCCAAGGCATTAACTCTTGACTTAACCTCATTTGCTACGGCCGCGGCTGGAGGGGGGGGGATAAAATAGCCGGAGAGAGGCGGTCAGGACTGCTGCCCATTGAGGAGAAAGGGATGGTGGCAAATAGGATTACGGGATCGGATCAGCCTTGGCCCTGCTCAGTGAAACCGGAGAGGTCAGGAGACCCTCGGAGGGAGGGAGGCCGGCATCTGCCCTGGCAGAGGAGGGGGGGGGGAAGCTGGGGAGCAGGAAGAGGCCAGAAGGCATCTACCTGGGTTTAGGAAGGANAAAAGAGCAAGGCTAATAACACGAGAAGAAATCCAGGTGAAGAGTTAGGGTCAGTATTTTATAAAATAGGTGTACTAAGGATCAGTCTCCAAATAGTAATTTGTGGAATCAAAGATACTTCTGTAACTGGAATCACTACATTTTCTATCTGTGTAATTTAGCATCTTACATAATTTAACATCGTACATTTAGCATCCTGTTTTATATTAGATTTTTAGATTAGATTTCTTAGAGCCAGCCCACTCCCAAATAGTCTGCAGCGTCTTCTGTGAAACGCTTCCCCGTTTTAATGAAGGCTTTTTTCTTGAGAGCCCCTAAATTGCTGTGTAAAAGTAATACAGTGAGCGGTCTTTAGAAGGCTCCTCTTAGTGCAACGGCTACATTCGTACGCCCCACTGGGCTGGTTTACTGCATTAACCCATCTCCCACATTCAATCCACCCAACCAGACTTCAGTCCCAGGCGGCGCCAGCCGCGCAGGGCGTCGCTCAAGGCCGCGATCCGCCTAACGGGAGACACTCGGGCATCTAGTTTCTCTGGGGGGCGCCAGGGCCACCGCCTCCCGCCTGCAGAGGCCGCAGCGGCCCCGATACGAGGATGAAGGGGAAGAAGCACAAGGTCATCCGGTCAACCAGGCCGTCTCCACGCACCGCCCCCGTGCTGCTCCGGTGCCGCAGCCGTTGACAGAGCCCGCTTCCAGCCCGGCTCGGCCCCCAGCCGCCGCGAGACCCTGCCGAGCGCCGCCATCGCCACCTTCTCCGTCCTCAGGAGGGTCGCTCGGAACCGGAAATACAATGACGGATGGGGGACGCGGATGGTGACGTCACAGCAGCGCCGAAAAGCGCGGCCCCGCTGCTGCGTAAACTTTGGATACAGAGTCGCGCGCAAGCGGTCTGCTTCCGGGTTCCCTTTGTGACCGGCTGGGCGGGGCTTCGCTGCGATTCGGAAGAAACTCTGAATTCAGTCTCAAAGTCGAGCCCCGCCGAATAAAGCCACGCATGCGCATGAAGGCCGATGGGTCAATGACTGCATTCCCGCAAAGTCGCCGGTTCCTTCTCCGCTGGGCGATGTCAGCCGGGGAGACTTTGGGGCGTTTGAAGTTTGCCGGAGCGTGGGCGGAGGATTCATGTGGATTTATTGTCTTGTATTCAATTTATATAACTGCCCATCTCACTTGCGGGACTCGTTTCAGGGGAGGCAGCTTTGCAAGAGAAAGCGGCCTGGAGAATGGAAGCCAAGTCTCCTCTGTGCAATCGTTGGAGCTCCCTGAGCTGGACCGACCATCCATTCACCCACCCATTCATTCACCCATCCACCCATCAATACACCCATCCATCCAATTCATTCACTCATCCACCCACCCACCCATTCATTCACCCATCCATCCATCCATCAATTCACCCATCCAATCATTCATTCATCCACCCACCCATTCATTCACCCATCCATCCATCTATACATACATCCATCCAATTCGTTCATTCATTCATTCAATTCATCCACCCACCCACGCATTCATTCCATCCATCTATACACCCATCCATCCATCCAATTCATTCATTCATTAAGTTCATCCATCCATCCACCTACTCATCCATTCATCCACCCATCCTGACCGACCCAGGAAGGCGATGGCGCTGATGATATTCCCCGGCTGGGTCACGAGACGTCTGCAAGGCAGCAGACGGGAACTGCACGGCTCAGCCGAAAGGCTCCTCGGGCGACACGCTCCCCTGCTCGAGTAGCCGAACGCAGAAGTCCCACGCCAGCCGTTTTCCAGGTGGAAAGGTTACTTTCCGAAGAAGAATGGGGGCAAGGGAGCCCCCTGGACCCTTGGAAGGCGCTGGGGCAGCAGAGCTCTTGGTGCAACCCCCGGGGCGGGTTGGGGACAGAGGAGCGGAAGGAAGGCTCTCCTGCTTAAGCAGGGGGTTGGACTAGAGGACCTCCAGGTGCTTCCAACCTTTCTCTTCCGCTTGCAAGAGCCTTCCCGCACCTGGAAGATGCGCGGAGCTTCGGGTATCCCCGCAGCGAGTTGGCCCCATTGCCGTCGCTGCTCCGGGTTGGGGATCGCGGCGGAGGGGAAGGACAGGCTCCGTTCAGGCCAGGAGCAGCAAGTCCTNCAGACAATATACACTGTTTGTAGTGTTACATTTAAGACTATACTTGTGCAGATGCTGTTAAAATAGATGTGCTTTCTGGAAGTATTATTATTTTCTGCTATTTAAAAGAAGATACAATAGCACTGGGCCTCTTCAGACCAAGCATTTATTTTAAAAAGCTTCTTCATTTTATTAAGCTATCTAGAACAATAAAGCAGTATTTTAAAATTGTCTAATAATTTGAACCTTCTGTAGGCATTTATAGTTATTGACTTACCTCCTTGCAGCAAATAGCCTGATTAGCACAAGAAAATAAAAATCTGCCTCTGCCTCCCAGCAATTTGCCTGTGGAGCAAACACTTTCAGTTTCTCCTGATCATCAGAGGTTTCAGGTTGCAGGGATTGCTATAACCCAGCGATGGCAAACCTTTTTTTGGCTCGCGTGCCATTGGGGGGAGCGCAGGGAGGTCGTGCGTGGGATGCCGCATTCATAATGCAACACGTGACACCCCCAGTGCACATGCACACATGAGAGGCATGAACCCCCCCCCCATTTTTGCATACTTTTTTCGCCCTCCCCAGGCTCTAGAGGCTTTATAGGAGCCTGGGGAGGGTGAAAACAGCCTCCCTGCCCCCCGGAGCCCTCTGGAGGCTTCAGGGACCTTCAGGAGGCTTCTCTGAAGCCTCCGGAGGGCAAAAAATGACCCTACAAGCAAACCGGAAGCCCGTTCCTGAACTTCTGGTTTTCCCTTAGGGCTGGTTTCTTGTCTTCCAGAGGCTTCAGGGAAGCTCCGGGGGGTGGGGGAGGCTCTTTTCACCCTCCCCAGGCACCTATAAAGCCTCTGGAGCCTGAGGAGGGTGAAAAATGGCTTTAAAAAAGGCTGAACTCAGCTGGCCAGCACACACATGTGCGCTGTCCAGCTAACAGGGCAACGCCTCGCATGCCCTGACAAATGGCTCTGTTTGCCACCTGTGGCACGCATGCCTTAGGTTCGCCATCCTGGCGATAACCTGTTGCAGGCTCCGCAAGCCCCCCTTTGCTGCAAGGAGGTAAATTGCGGGAGGCAGAAGCCAAAGGTTGGGGCCAGTGGGTGGGTGGGGCTACATTCAGTGTATAAGATGCACCCAAAATTTCACCCTCTTTTAGGGGAGGGGAAAGGTGCATCTTATACTCTGAAAAAATATAGTAACAATCTTTTTGATCATATAAGTCAGGAACGAAGGCAAATATGCATGTCCCAGGATAATGTTGCTGGATCCAAACTGTCTCGGAAATTTAGAAATTTAGTTTTCCAAGCTTTTGGACTCATGCTGATGCTCATCCTCAGGGAACTTCTTTCTCAATGGTTTTAGAAATGGTGGCATCTTCTCCACTCCATACACTGGTCGGGTCCTTCAATAGCAAAGGATTATACAATATGATGTTTAATGTCCAGTTAAATTCTATGATTCATGCTACAGCTGAAATTGAAGCCATAAGAAATATAGAGTGAAGTGCCTGACCATAGTGCGCGTCCATGTGGGTGATGCCGGGGCCGGTTCCAACTGTACCGGTTGGAATGGAATCCGAAACCCACCACTGGATAGCATCTAATTTTGTTAATATGTTTATGTATTTGCAATTCTGAACAATGCTTTTAAATAAGATCTAAAGGTACAAACTAGAAGTGCAGATTTTTTCTCTTAATAAAGTCC